GAGCGTCGCCGGCGGCGCCGCGGGCGGCGCTGCGGGATTGACGCAGGCGCTGCACTTGCCGCTGCACGGGCCGCCGGCGGTGGCCACGACGTGCAGTGTCGGGTGGCGGTGCGTGTGGTGGGCCGCGAAGCAGGTGCAGGTGCTGCCCGACGACGGCGTCGAGCTGCTGGGACTGGCGCCTGCCTTGCCGCCCCCGCCGGCAAGGCCGCCGGCGGCCTTGCTTCCGGCCCCGCCGTCGCTGCTAGAGCTGGGGCCTGGCTCCACAGATGCGTCCGCCGCCCGCCCGCTCCTCAGGTGAGCGAGCGTGTGCAGGATGAGCTGCATCATTGCCGGTGAGTCCTTGCCGCTGTCGTATCGGCGCACCCGCTTCAAGTGCTGCAGCGAGCCAAGCGGCAGGTCTTTGGACAGTGCCTTAACGAGAGGGGCGGCATGCTGGGGCTCCACCAGGGCAACGAGTACGTCTGCAAGCTGCAAAGTAGGCGGGATGCGGCCTGCTATACGCCTGGCTGCGGCGAACTCCACGACCTCGACCGCGGTGGCCGCCATGACGCGACTTTTCCCAAGTCCTGAATCGTGCCCACGCGCTCGTGCGTGCAGCCGGCCCTCAGCCAGTGCAGTGCATGCGGCCGATCTCGATCGAACGGGCACAAGACAGCAGAAAAATGGGATCAGCGGTTTTTATCAACAAAGCGACCGAAAGTTGCAATGGCGAAGGCCGTTACTGCAGTTTCGCCGCAGTCAGAACGCGCGCCGCATTTTTCGTGCGGAGGCACGCAAGCAAGAATGGGTGTTTAGGACGGAAGAAACGAAACGAATGTCTCACATGCAGCATGAGTAGCGCGATAGTGCTCGTGATCTGAGATAGAATTGTTGAGCTCCGGCATGCCGGTTTTGGCGAGCCCCCGGGCTGCGCATATTGTCATATGTGGCGTAGACGATGGTTCTGCATCAAATGTGGCATGCAGCAGCGCCCGGGCCTCAGTGGCTGCCGGTGCACAGCGCGGCGGGGAGCAGCGACGGCGCAGCGTGACTCGACCGCGGGTGACATACACCGTCCTGCTGCGGAGGCTGGGCTTTCTGCACCGCAGCGGCGGGGACTGCAGGGAATTATATGCAAGCCTGCGAGGTGAGGTCGCAAGGCTGCTGGGATGTAAAGAGCTTGCGGTGCTCTTGGCTTGCCCTGTTGCAAAGCGGGCAGCACTCAGCCCGCCTGCGACACGCCATCCCACACGCACCCACTCCCGGCCCCACCATGCAGCCGCCGCCCTGGCAGCGGTCGTGCCGCGCGGGCTGCCCGACCCGGCGCGCTTCCGCTACTGGGTGGACTACCAGGCGCTCTCCAGCCTCGAGAGCGCCGCGCTGGCGGAGCGCGCGCTGCAGGCGCTGGGCGGCGTCAGGACGGGTGCGCCCGGCGCGGCAGCAGGGGGGCCGCGCGCCCTGCCCGTCCCGCGTCACCAGCAGCGCCCACCATACCAGGCCCCCCCTGCTGCTCAAGTTTCGCTCATGCACTGTGTGCCGCACCGCTGAGCGAGCAGCCCCGAACCCACCACCTCCTTCCACAACCCCCTGGCCCCGCGCCACCCCTTAGGCGGGCCCCCCAAACTCGACCCCATCAGCGCCCAGAAGCAGAAGATCCGCGACTACGGCTACATGCACATGGGCGCGTGGGACCTGCTCCTGTCCATCACCGCCAAGGCGATGCTGGCCGCTGAGGTGCTGCGGCCAGGGCAGCTGGTCAGCATCGTGCCGGGCTGCCTGGCCATCAGCCGCAAGACGTCGCTGGTGGGGGGGCCTGGAGGGAGGGGGGGTCCGAAAGGCGTTGCGACCCCTGTCTTGCAAAGGCAGGCTGGTGGCGGAGGGTGGATGCATGAAAGCTTGAGGGAAAGAGAGGGAGAGGGGGAGATATAGAGTGTGTGTGTGTGTGTGTGTGTGTGTGTGTGTGTGTGCGTGCGCGCGTGTGTGTGTTTGCATGCGCATGCATCCGAGAAGGGGTTGACGCGTGCTCATTGGTATTCTGCACAGCGCTCACCCATCCTGCGCCCTCTGCTCCTGCCCGCACCCCTTCCGCCCAGGTCCGGAGCCTCCTCAACGCGTACGGCCCCGAGGTGGCATTCAGCCTGGTGCCAGTGACCTTCAAACTGCCAGAGGAGCTGGACGACTGGGCAGAGTGGGTGCGGCAGCACCCAGACCAGGTGAGAGGCAGGGCAAGTTGGGGCTGGACAACTCGGCGGCATGTTGCGGGCACGTGTGTGTGTTTCAGTGCTGCAGGACGGGCAGCCTCTGCAGGCTGGGCAGCTCGTGGCGCAGACGCCCGCGCGGCTGCCTGGCGGGCAGGGTTGGCGCCCAGCCTCGTCTCGCGGTCCCGCTGCGCCACACCCTCGACAGCTCCCGCCCCTCCCCACCCGCCGTTGCCGTCAAGAATCCGTTCCTACTTGCCAGCCCTCAGCACACACACCCAACCCCAACCCCTAAACCCCAAAACCCCAGGACCCAGGCTTGTGGATGCTCAAGAACAACAAGCAGCGCGGCACGGGGCTGCGCCTGGTGCCCACAGCGGAGGCGTTCCGCGCGTGCTTTGAGACGTGCACGCGGCCGGGGCTGGAGGGCATGAGGCTGTACCGCTGGTACCTCGCACAGAGGTGGGGGCGATGAGACTGCGAGGAGGAAGGGGGTGGGCGGCGGATCCGCGCGGCCCTGTGGCAGGGCAACATGGCTGCTAGGTTACCGGTACGCGCGTGGCGGAGCAGCCGGCACTTCGGGTGGCTGCAAGGCTGGGTCGCTTAGAGGTGGCCGGGCGGTTGGATGGCTGAGATTGCTGCAAACGACCGTGGACTTCACTGCGGGCAACGTGGCGGTGTTGTGTTGTGCCGGCCACTCGCTGCTAGCCATAAACAAGGGGGACAGCGAAACGTCAGAATTCCCAATCAAGCAGCCCCCCCTCGGCGCCTGCAGCCACGTGCCCGACCGCGTGTCCGTGCGCCTTCCGCGCACCCACTTGCCCTCAACCCGACTCCGAACGCCGGCGCCCGCACCCAAGATACGTCACCGACCCGCTGCTCATCAACGGCCGCAAGTTCGGGCTGCGCCTGTGGGCGCTGGTGCCGGGCGCGCGGCCGCTGCGCGCCTACCTGCATGCCAACGGCCTCGCGCTGTTCAGCTCGGAGCTCTACCGACCAGAGGGTGCGGCGCACAGGCCGCGGAGGCAGCGCGGGCTGGGGGTGGCGCACGCAAGCAGAGCGACTGCCGCACACACGCACACACATCCCAATGGACGCCTGGCTAAAATCTTCTACTGTAGTCGCTCCCCTGCAACATAGTGCGCCGGAACCGTCTGCCTGCATCCCCGATGCGCCGCAGACGCCGGCAAGCCCTCCGCCGGGGGCGTCGCGGCGGGCCACATCACCAACTACGCCCAGAACGAGAACGGGGAGGTCTGGGACCTGCCGCGGCTCGCGGCGCACGTGGGTCTCGGCAAGTGGCGGGGCCTGTGGCGCAAGTGCGTGGCGGCGAGCGCGCTGGTGTTTGCGTCGGCGCTGCGGCGAATGCAGGAGGTGCAGGCTCAGATGGACCTTCCCCCACAGTGAGGGGGCTGCGCGTAGGGCTGGGGTGGGGCGGAGTGCAGCGCGGTTGGGGACTCGGCGCGGGGGTGGGGATAAGGGGCATGTGGGCGGCTAGGAAACGAGGAACTTGCACCAGCCAAACGCCTTCCTGCTGCCTTGGGTGCCCCCGCACACATGAATGATGCGTGTGGGTTCTTGCTTCTGAGCGCTCCATTCCCCCAGATCCCCTCACTTTCGCTCTCAATCCCCGCTCCCACGACCACCCATCCGTCTTCTGAAACTTCCTACCCTGCTGCCCTGCCC